CGAGGGCTAATACTAGAAAAATTTATTGCAAATAAAAAGATATGTTTCAGAGAAAATATATTCTACCGTCTCTATGCGCGAAATAATATTATATTTAAAAAGAACCTATCCTTTGCAAGTGATCTTAATGATATTGAATAGTGCATTACAGGATAAGTGCGGGAAACTAGACTCTTGTTTCGTGTGGCGTTTACGCCCGAGCGGAGTAAGAAACTCTTTCCCGAACGTGTGTCGTATTGTTTTTTTCGGTTTTCGATTTTCAACGCACGTTTTTGCCGAGCATGCGGGAAAGACGCACTTTGCACACGAAGTGTCAAAATATTATATCCGAGTCACTGGACTAAATAATTAAATGTCCCTCGTCGTGAAACAAGCAAAGTTTGCTGAAATAAACAACGAAGTTCAGAATCTAGCATTCTGAATAAAGTGAAAACCATATGCTTATACATCTTCATAGCTATCAATCATGAAATCATTTTGAGATAAAATCGCAAAAATAAAATGAATTTCTTTGGACGAGATAATTTTTACGACCTCTATTAGAAAAATCTTTGCTATGTGACACTTTAAAGCATTCAAATTATCATTCAATTGTTTATATCACTATGTAGTTAATCGGAAAAAGAAATAAGAACAGTGCGGAGATGAATTTTTATTCAATGCCAGAAATGACAAACATCATTTGCAAAACACTAGAGGAAGCATAAACATCCTAGCATCTGGCGTGGCAAACAAATGTCAGTCCACAAAACTTGCTGCACTCCGTCACACGGGTATTCTTTTTATTTTCTTTCTGTATCCGAGATATATCCAGCCCATGACAACGACAGAATCTTATATACATTTCTATTTTCCGCGCCGTCGTCTTTTCTTTCTTGATCTTTTCAGAGGCTTCGTTCCATGTATTGTCGTCAGCGACGTCTCTTCTGATGTCAACTTTCAAACGCTTGGAAAATTGCCCAAACGCTCACGCTCTGTATACTGCAATCAACTTGATACTTGATTTTCGTCGTGATTTTCGAACACGAAACTTTTTATAATAGAATGAAATTTAGTGCAGTGTTCGCATAAGATAAAATTTACATAATCAGCTTTTTTAATAAATATTTTAGTAGCATTTTTTCATTTTTCATCAGATACAAGTTACTCGCCGATTCATTACATAGCAAAAAATCTCAATGCAAGCTTTTGCCATCTATACACTTTAGCCACTAACTAGGAGCCAATTGTACACTTACTTTATGCGATCAAGGATGCAAAAGCACAGTAAAATAGCCATGTAAAACAGCAAAATAACATATGGCAACACAAAGAAGAAACAAAAAAGCTATTTCGGAAACAAGTGGACGCCCAAGCTCGCTTGGTCATAGAATTTCAAAGGAGCGCGAATTTGGGCGAAAGCTGCCCGGTTGAAAGGATGTGGCGCGCGACGTACATACAGCATCTGTAAAGGATTATAATTTGATTGCGGGCACAACCAATGAATAGACGGCCGCCACGTCGCGGCTAGTTAGCGGCGTATTCATTACAAATTACAGACCACGACGCGCCGCACCGCAACCCGGTACTACGATGAGCTACGCACGTGCGAACCAATCGAGCTGCCTCTTCTTGTCGTCAACCACACATGCGTGCCTTTTAATTTCGTACCTGCATGTGCGGGCCTCGAGTTTGTTACTCCTATTTGAGGCTGACTTTTTGTCCCTGAAAATAGAGCGTCTTGCGGAGATACCTTTCGGCTGGTATTTCTCGTTTGGGTACGAGCGTTTTCGGTTTTGATAATATTATTCTTGAAAAGAATTACTTATGGGTCGTAGAATTGAACTTTCGAAGAAGCATTTAGTTGAATGGTTATCTTATAAAAACTAGCTTCTGAGGAACTTCATGAAGATGTTACAGTAAATTTCCACATTATTCTATGAAAATATTTCAAGAAGATGCATTTCGGTAGATTTAATCGAAATTTTCAAAACTTTAACAAATTTCCCTTAATAGTTCGGTTTCAGCGAAATGCACATTTTCAAAATTATATTAAATAAATTACTTCGTTATTGTTAATTTCGCAGCAAATTTAATAGTACGTTTTTATCAGATTCATTCATTTTAATCGTTGATTGAATAAAAAGAGCATTTCTATTAGTTTTTTTACATTAAAATTGATGCTTTATTTATATTTTGTAAAACCTGCTTAGAAAATCGATTTTATGTCTTAGTTCCGCTGATATCAAATTTACAAAAATTTGTCACTTAGATAATACCCACCAAGGTCCGTACGTCGCTCTGTATAAGAATCAAGCGAGCGTGCTGTGCCCCCCCCCCCCCTCACCCCTGCCCACACGGTGGCGTTTTATCTAAAAAGAAGCTTGTCACGTCCGTAAATAATCTTTTGTCTTTTATTCCACGTCCACACAATGTAACAGTCTTCGATTCTCCCTTTAGTCTTCATTTTCGACTTTTACCTTTTTTTCTGTTTGCACCGAGCGTACACATAGCGTGCCATGCGTGATGGCATACAAAATATTTATGGAAGGTGGCAGACTAATTTGCCGTATAATTATATTTGTGCGAGTTAAAACACAATCACGGTAAAAAATACTGACGTGAAGTTTTGGTAGCGCAATAGAATAAAATTATAATAATCCATTCAATATTCAGCTCTATAACAACATAAAAATTATCCTTGTGAAAATTTAATTCTAATAAATTAAAATCATTCAATTGATCGAGTCGTAAGGTTCAATTTCTTTGGCCAAACTGACAGCCAATCTTTGGATCAAACAGTCGGTAATAATTTTAGAATATATATTTATAAGAGCTTATTATCATACTATAATATACAAATCAGTCGTTGAATCGCCAGAGTAGTGTAACGTTTAATCAGCTGGGTACCAATGAAGCTTATGTAGTAGCCGATAACATTGAATTATGAACATTCCGAATCGTTACAAAATCGTCATAACGAAAATGAAGCTTTTTTAAACCAACGCTTGTCGCGCTCACTAGTAATTTGTATTAATATTCAATTTCATGCTTCAATGAAATCAAAACTATTATAAAATACACTGCATACATAAAATAGTTCTATGCTCTGACATGCTTAATATCCGTTGGCGTTAATTGGCATAAAAAATCCAATGACGTCGATATTCGCAGATATAGATATTATCTCAAACCTAATATCATATCAGATCTTTATTAGATGCTAGCTAAGCTGTAGATGATGGGCAGTGTATCAAGTTCGTTTTTCTTTCTTTTTCTAAGTAAATCTAATAATTCTTTTATAAATAAAAATACTGAAACTCAGTCTCGGGTTTCTGCTCGTTTGGAGAAATACTTTTCACAAACTATATTTCAAAATTCTTACTTTCAGCAAGATAACTATCATATTTTACTAATTTATCCATAACAATTTTGAGGTTATTTTTCCATATATAAGTTTAATTTAAAAATTTTTTTTAAATAAATTACTGGACAAAATGAGATTAAATTAGTTCACAGTATTTATTTTATGAAATAATCTATTAGCTTATGATTTTCTTCATATTTAATGTCTATTCGAAGCTGAACTTTACAACAGAAATATTCAATAAATTTATATGTCGTAAGAATAAATGTAATTGAAAAGTATTACAATAATTTATCATATTATTTTAATGTTAGGATGTTGAGTAAATGTAGATATTATTTTCTTAGTGCTTACGAAGCGTCTTACTTATTTTTTGTTCACTCAATTAATGAATACAAAATTGATATAAAACATTTCGAGATATTTATTAGCACAAATTTACTGAACATATTAGCTGCTGTGCTAATAAAATTATATGCACTAATTCCAAATACACATACATAGACATATATGGTGCCACATGACGGTATCCTGCGTGACTACCTTTCCGCCACTCAGATTACGAATAAAATGCCTTCACTTGGTAGGCCATCATTTTTTTTATATAGGACACATTTTTATGTAGGATAAATTCATGAGACACGCTCTCGTAGGAGACTCAGTAAAATTAATATCAAGTCGCCAGTGACAAGTACGGGAAAACGCATTTGGAGGCAGAAGAAGAAGGACCGAGCAAAGAAAGATCAGAAAGAAGCGACAATCCGTGAGGCAGCAGCTCAAAGGCGAATGCGCGAGCGACCCCTGAACTTTTCCTCTAGCCCCCGAGGCGCGCATAGTACATGTATATAAGTGCGAATCGTCGCTCTCTCTCTCTCTCTCTCTCTCTCTCGGAACGCAACAAGGGACTTTCCGAATAAAGCATGGGATGGGGGATGTAGAAGGGAAGAGAAGATCTCTCTCTCTCTCTCTCTCTCTCTTGCAAATCGAATTTTCTTCAAATTATTTATCATTTCCTACGGCAGTGCGCTGTATAATTTCAGTGATGCAAATTTGATTTACTTTATAGTTATGTGACGAGAACACTATTGGTTGCTAAAGTTAAGAGTACAGTAGAAGCTTGCATTGATGAAAATATTTTCACGGATTGAGTAATAAATATTTAGCTTGTAATTTGCAACAATTGGCATATTAAAACTTATCATTTTAAAAAGATAGTCACGAGTGCATTCATTTTTATTACTAAACACGTTGAAAATGGCTTACCAGAAAAAATTGTTTAAGTTGAGGTCTCTTTCCTGACAAAACAAAAATCATCATTCAACTACATTTTAAGGTTTGCCTGACCACTATGTCAACCAATTCGCATCCGAAGCAAACAGTCCACACCAGTATGTCAAAGCTCCCAAAGCCCGACGATCCAAAAACGAGGAAAGAAAGGAAAAGGGAAAATCGGCAACAAACAATTTTAGTAAACTAGCGTGAAGGAGAGTGAGCGAGTAAGAGCGCTTGCGCGCGGGAAAAAGGCGATTGGGGGGCGGCGCTCGAGCCACTCCCGATAGTACCCCCGTAACTGCGACGCACCCCCACAGCGAAAATCCGAAGCGCGTAGCGCGCCAAGGGAGAAAGCTTCAGTTCCTCGTCCGCTATCGTGCTAAGAGCACGCGCCCTTCAAGTATCCCTCGCACATTATGCCAGTGTTTCTTGTCGTGCTTCTACCATCTTTGTCTGCACTCGATTAATACCCGTACTTGATTATTTTAGACTTGTGGCCAGCTTTTGGTGAGGTGTTCTTTCTCATTCGATGCGACATTTCGAGTTAGATTCGTTCTGTAATAACACAATAGTCTAATGTTACGTAGGATTAGTTTTCTCTTCTACTTCATATTTCGGTTGAACGCGAACTTAGAAAATATATAGCTCTTTTTCCGATATTATATCTTCAACAGATCTTGATGTAAGTGGTGTACTTCTTCATTCTTTCAATTAGGAATTCAGACATTTTTTTCGCCGGTAAAATCCGCGTAAAATAATGTTATTTCTCGTTACATTTCCGTATCAAAATAAAATCAAGTCAAGGGAATCCCGTCAACTTCAATCTTTACAGTTGATTTTGCTTTCGCAGCAGAGATCGCGCGCTTGACATATTTTATCTCGCGATTTGATAATTTTTTTGCACATTGTTAACTTGGTCAGATATTTCATGTAATTAAGTCTTTTTCTCTGTACATATTTCGTTTGGAATTATACAAAGAATTTGTCAGCTCATTATAATTACGACAGTGCTTTTTTCCTATTCGTATTCGTTCATTTTTTAATTGAATAAATATGCGATAGCAGCATCACTCTAATAAATTCGTCTACTTTGAACAAGATATAATCATATTCTTCACTTTTTACGATTGATTTTTTTCCTCGAACACGCGGCGTGAAAAGGAGTTCTATAAAATAAAAAAAAATGTAACGTAACACCTGCTTCGTATGTATGCGGGCCCCACGTGTGCCTCGTTCGGTTGAAAATTTTTTGTAAGAGGGGAATGGCGTGCGCCCGCGTCGCGTTCGAGAGAGGAACATAACATACATCAGTCCACCTGCTACGACTAGCTGACCTGACTGGTAAGTTATTATACTGTTACATTTTTTATTAACTTTTTCACGTATTTGTAAAAATATAATTTAATTTAGACGTCAAGTCTTCGTAGATAAAAAACTTAAATGTTTGTAAAATAAAATTATCTCGACAATCTCAATGGTTTTAAATACACTACAGTGGACTACGTAATGTTTGTCATTATCTTGATTAGAAAAGTTTTATAACACGATAGTCGTCACAAGTTTCAAGAAATCAATAGTAAGATAGTCCAAAAACATTTTCAATTAATGTATACAGTCATAAAAAATTGCTTGCTTAGACAAACTTGCACTCCAATGAAATTATTATTATCAAACTCGAGAAAAAAATCAGTCAGTGTTTAACTCAGTAAGATTCTGAAATCTAATTAAATTGTAAACAAGCATCTATTGACATTCATTTTCTAAAGTAAAAACATCGAATTTCCAAAGAAGGCCACAACTCTATTTCAACCTTATATACAAAATTACTCTCTCTCTCCTCGAATTTCCTTTAGTTTGTATACGCTCGCAGCGTTTTGCTCTTACGCCCAAACATTGCAGGAATGCTGAGAATATGCGTGCACTCGCTGGTTAAAAGAACAAGTTGTTAGCCAATGTAGGTACAGCATAATTGTAGTTTTAATATGGTGTTTTAAAATAACGTCGAATAGCGCTTCTCCAGGACAATCCGACAATTTTCACACTTGTTTGCTCTCGAATAGTTACATTCCAACTGGTGATTAGCATTCGTACAACTTTGATCAGCGCACAACATAAAAATTATTTGACACGAAAAATCTAGTAGCTAGTGAGAAGCATCGACGACTCTTTTAAATCTGGCTGGCGCGAACACATTTGGTTTATTGGAAAAACGTCAAGTTTACAAAGTTAGCCAATAAAAATTACAACTCATTACCCAAGTTCGGCCGGCATGCCAGCAATTCTACATGAATTTTAACGTATGTATCATGGCTCGCCGAAAATTGTCGCTGAAACATAGGTAGAAAAACAAACAGAGAACTCGTTACAATAGTTTGTTCTAGTATCTGGCTCGCCAGTAAATTGGACAGTTTGAAAATTCATGTACATTGAACGGTCTTTTTCATTGAATTTTACGCGGGGGGTCATCATTTTACGTATTTTGCTATTTTGCACTTGTCTAATATTTGGAATACCACGAACATTTTCGGATGCGAATAGAGCTGAAAAAATCAACCTTTTTTCTTTTTTTAATTTACCCAGTGGTAACCAATTCATATAAATACGTAAGGAATATTTCCGTCGTTGAACCACTTTGATATTACAACCATCCTAGTACATAGTAGAGTATTTGTTCATCATAATCTTCGAAAACGATACGAGCACAATTTTAAACATTGGAATCAACATGAAGAACAATTATCGATCGATATAACCTTACACGAAGTGCAACAAATAAAAACTGGTTTAAATAATGAGTCTTACGTCACTAATTACGAAAAATTCACACCAAACGTTGTATGTCGTTAGCAGAAGAACGGTCTTCTTGGTAACGATCAGCATATCTAACTTTGCGCACTCGAGATTAAAGAAAATCAATGGTTCACCAGCTCTCTCCCTCGGTATGAAAGCCGCAGGTGCACCCGGAGCTTTACGCAAACTTTGCTCTGCTGCCGCGCGAGATTTCGCGAAATTAAAAATTGCCGCGATTGTAAATCTCTCGTAAGCTGAACTTGTGCCTGTTGGCGTGGCACGCAGCTATCGGAAAACTTTCCTTTTTTTCGCCTTCTCACCCTCCCAAGAATACTTAGCAAATGGCTCTTCTTCTTTTCCGCACGTTGTATATACTTTGATGCGCAGAATTATTTGCTAATTTCGCGGTTTGTTCCCACGCCGTTCCTTTATGGATTCATTTTTTTCTTCCCTTCTTGTTTTTCTTTTTATTAGGGTACCTTGTTGTTTTTCATATACATACTGCGGTATGAAGCGCGTCATGTTTTTTATGGCTTAAAAGTTCACGCGATATCTTTTATTTTGCGCTTATTTCTTTTTGCTGATACTATTCGGTTATATGCTATAGTTTCAATAGATAATATAAATAATTAGAAAATTGACGTTTAAAAATAATGTATTTTATTTGATAAACCGATGCGAAGAATGATCCGTCACTCAATCCGTTTGTAATCGCGGATTACATAAAAACTCACCATTTTCTTCTTAAAAAAATGCACTGACAAGTATAAGAAAGCCTGGAAAAGGTATTCTCCATCTGGCGAGAGCATAATAACACAACTAAACAGAGAGGAAGAGAGAGAGAGAGAGGGAGAGAGAGAGAGTGGAAGTATAAGCTTGGCGTATACGATAAACAAGGGAGGAAGGAAAAAACACAAGAATGAGATTTTGATATGCCGCAGGCGCGCGCACCACTATGAAATTACCTCGACGATATTTTCCAATTTTCCGGGCATTTAGGGTACGCGACTCAGTGATTCTCGAGCATTATACGCTCTGATCTCCAGTGTGAAATTGCTTTGCGTCTACCACTCTTTTTCCGTTTTTCTTTTTTTGACTTTTTCGTATATAAAGGGGAATCTTTTGTTGAGTTTTAATTGCTTTGCATCAAGTGGCTTGTCATTGGGGGAGACGAGTGTCGATTCAATAGACGTATGTTTTCAAACAGCTAATTATTGGATAGATTTCTATTGAACTGTTAAATAGAATGATTAGTATTCTTACTCAGAAAATCAATCAAATATTTGACCATGAGTGATAATATTGATTTGTGGATTCGTAGGCTACCGACTGTCCCCTATTCTTTCGATTTCCCGCGACAACCGAGTGAATCCGAACACGCTCACGCTGAGTAGCGCCGAAGTACGTTCCGGAGATACGATACAAGGCATTTATTGAGTGAGCATCAACAGCTCGTCATTTTGCTATAGCCAGTTGTGCACGTGCGTCACTCTGTAATCCTGTAGTGTTCATCTATATACGACACATCGGGTCAAAATTTATCTTTTTATTACAGAGTATTTTTAAATTATTAATGAGTTAATTAATTTTATCTTGATACCTCTAAAATACCTAAAGATTGAAAATACCCGTAAACGTTGAACAATATAATGAAGCGTAGATCTCCCAGTCCGTACGTTACTCTTTCCGCGTGCTTTTATCAGTATTATCCGATTGCTATATTCCGTTATGAAATTTCCGAGTTACAAAAGCAGCGCTCCAGTCGAAAAATACGCGGCGAAATTCTGGAAAAATGAAAGAAGAGGGAAACTATTGGAAAAACAATGTTGTTCGTTAGTTCTTAACTGAGTACAGGCACGGTAAAATTTCTAACTGTTGGAATATCAATTTTCCGATCGTTTTAATTGAGAACCAGAGCGTGGCAAATTATCCGCGCACGATCTCTCAAATGTATCCAACGAAAACTGAACTTGCAAGTTTCCGTCCGAAATCGAATCGACGCACGGTGGTTTTACCGGATATTTCGTGTATGCATGAATTTCGCCTATTACACGCACAACAGAACATGGTTGGGGGGGGGGGGGTCAAAAGCTTTCCATTCTGCGCTCGAACAGAGAAAGAGAGAGAGAGAGAGAGAGAGAGAGAGAGAGTACAATCTGCTTTATTTTCCTGTTCTATTTCGGAGGTCCTATTATTGAACAAGATTCGCTTTTTTGCATTATTCGAACGAAGAGGATAAATTAAATACTTGCTGTCGGTTTGGATCAAAAGTAGCAAAACAATTAGAGAAAAAATTCTGTTTTTTTAGCTTCGGCAAACCGATCCATCGTTCTTCGTAAGCATGTTACTTTCCGTCGGATGATAGATCGTCAAATATATATCTTTCAAAGTCAAAGGCGCGTCTATATGTTAGCAATCAATCGTGAGCGCTGCAAAAAATAAAGTTACGTGCGCCCTTGCTGCAGCGGCAAGACAAACTTTATGATGTTTGAAATTGCGCATGCCAATATTTGATAAGTGTTAGCAAAACGCTCGCGCGTATCGACACGAATTACATTATCATCGGTGATCGCGCAATTAATCATCGACGACCCAACTAATTAATCTTCTGTTTTCCAATTTTCGAAAATTACAAGCACACGATATCATTTCCAAAGCAATGCGCGTCCCATAACTATTCGCCGGCAAAACGTGAGAAATTAATCAATGTCAAAAGAAACGAATGCACCACTGCGGCTTTTAATAAATGTTGCATTATAAATAGCATTTCAAAAACAAGAATACGTAATCAATTGCTACTCGTGCTAGAGAGTTAGCCCGTATCGGTTCTGTACTAATATTTGACACATCCGGAAACACCTAGAAGGGTTATAGAACGGGAGCACTTTGGAAGGACACAACTGTTACCCAGAAGCTATAGCAATATCTTTCCTCATGCGAGTATATGTTGCCGGGTAGAGCTATCTCATTATCCTCGGCACAGCAGCGTTTCTCTCCTGGAATTATTTGTTGCCTCTTGCTGGAACTTTGATCGAGCAATATCCCTAACTCGTAAATACATAAAATTAAAGTCAAACCATAGCGATGCTCATAAGAAAATCTTGGTATTATCCGAAACAAATGCAAGACGACATACTCAGAGAACTAATCAACGAAAGCTGGATTTTAGAAAATTTTATCCTCCATTGTATCTCTCTTTGTCTACGCTCGATAATCCTATTTCGTGTTGAGCCGTGTCGTCACTAGAATCTCTCTCTCTCTCTCTCTCTCTCTCTCTCTCTCTCTCTCTCTCTCTCGCCAACAGAGGCAGCTTAAATAATTAACCTAATTGTTTGTGAAGTCGCGCCCGCGCGAGTCAACGAATCCTCTTTGGTCTCTCGAGAGCAACGGCTTATACTCATGCGCACACACGAGCAGAGGAAAACTTTTTATTGTCGCGTTACACATGGCATGACCTTGCAAGATAGATTAATACGTGACCGAGAGATGGAGTCTTTTTCTTGACCAAGTGTTAATTACCTTTTCAATTGTTACTCGTCAAAATGCCGGCG